CCCCACCCTCCAACCCCCAGCCCGGCTCACCTGCCGCCGGCGTCTCCATGGCAACGCCCCCACCGCGGAGGAAAAAAAAGCCTCGGGGTCTTCCGGGCTTCTTCCCGCGCCCACAGAGAAAGCGGGGCGCCCCGCTGACGCTTCGCTTTTTATTTTTATTTTTTTAAGAAAAGAGCCGGCGAGGTTATGGCGAATCTGCGGCATCCAACATGGCGGATGGAGTCTTCGCCCTCCTCCCCACGGGGCGCTGGCGCCTGCGTAGCCGACGTCCGCCTCGGTGACCCTCCCCAGCGCCGAGCGCAGCCGAGTGAGCTAGCCTAACGCGCATGCTCGTTTCGGCGGCCGCGCTTTTCCTCCTGCTCCACGAACTCCGTCGTTCCGTGTTTTGAACCACGCCCAGAATGGGGCTCTCGGGAAGGCCGGAATCCGGATCGCAGGATTGGAAGTCTTTCCAACTCTGCCCAGCCGGCATCTGCCTGCCCGCCCCTGGGCCAGCCTGAGGGAGCCCCAGGGCTGGACGTAAGGGCAGTGTCCGTGGCTCGCGTCCCACTTCTGCCTTTTACTAACTTGTTTGGGGCTGCGAATTCACTTTTTCTTGGCCCCTGTTTATTAATATGCAAACCGGTGGTTACAGCCTGCAGGAGCTCAGAGGTTGCCGGGTTGCCCGCGTGGGGCGCTCGGCGCTGGGGTGCCCAGCTCCACTTCAGTTGTACAGCAGGTGGCCGTGAAGGGGGAGCCTCTGCCTCGCTGCCGGCCTCTGATCGCCTGGCAGTCTGGGCTGGGTGCCACGCGCCTCTGACACTTGCTCATTTCCCGGCTGTGGCTCAGCCTTGGTGGCAGCTGTATTTGGGTGAAACTCAACGACCTTGTTTTCCTCGTCTATGTTAGGTGTAAGCGCTAGCACTCCCCGAGTCCTGGGCTCAGATGACCTCCTCCCCGCCCCATCAAAGAAACCCTCCGAAGTCACTTCTCTTTTCTGTGTAGTATCTGTTCCACGCTGACGGTAATTCGTCTCTATCGATTTATCTCCGTCTCGGGCGCCGCTTCAGCTGCTGAAATTGGAGCTGGGACTGATGTTTATTAAATAATGAGTTTTCGTTGCCTGTGTTTTTAACGTTACTTTGTATTTATTACATGTGATAAAGTATTTCATTTATAGTAGTAATACAAAGTTTTCTTTTTAACTACAACTTATTTACATGTTTGAAATTAGTCAGACTTAAAGAGGAGCTCCTGGTTCAGAGACATGTCCCCCACCCCCACATGTAAAGGCCGACCTCAGTGACTGGCGCAGAGAACACCCCTGATTGTTTGGGTTTCCCTGAAACGCTAGCCTGCCTGTTCTAAGTCTGTCCCTGGAATAACCCACCTGTGTTGCTGCTCCCCTTGGCGAAACTCTGGGCCCTCATCCTGCCACGCGCAGCCGCACGCCCACTCGCGTGTGTGTCTGCACGGCCCTGCCCCACCAGAGCACCTGCTCTTTGAGCAGTCCCTACAAACCAGCTTGTCTTTGTTTTCCCGGGCTTGTAACTACAAAATGAACACTTCCTGGTGGGGGTGGGTTGGTTTTGGTTTGGTTTTCCAAGGTTTTTGCTATGCCTATGTGGGAGAGAGACATTGGCATTTAGCAAGAAAGTGAGAAATCGCCCAAAGGGATGATGACCTTGCCACTTTCCTGCTCCTCCATTCTCCTCCTGGGATTCTGGACATGGACGCCTGCCAGGTCTGGGACTCTAACTGGTCAGTCATGAGGAAGTCCAGCACTGTAACCACTAGGCCACCTGCTGCCCCCCCCCACTTGTCTCTCAGTAGTAAAAGGCAGGTGGGCCTTGAGCTTGAGGGTGACGCATCCCGATTTCTCAGGAGCCTTTCCGCCTTGCCCTGCAATCCTGTTCTTGAGAGAGGAATCATTGTAAGACCCCAAATCTGAGCCATCCATTAAACACAGTGTCAGAGGTACCGCCACTCCCTTCAGTTCAGCCTCACAACCCCGGAAGGAGCCCTTGCTGCCCAGCGCAGCGCTGTCCAGTCTCAGTGGCGCGGCTCTGCGGGGCCCACCGAGGGCTTTTATTTGGAAATGAACTGCTCAAAGCACTGCACTGATGAGCTCTACCTTTTTAACTATGAACATTTACAATAATCATTATTTTGCTGTGAATCGATTTCTGTCAGGAAATCGGAGTCTCTGGGTTGCTGACAATATCGGTTTTGTGCCGAGTTGTTTCGCTTACCGTGGATCTAAATGTTCCTCATTGATCAGCAGATGGATTGCTCCTGGGTGTCGTGACCAAAATGAATTCTGGAAATGAAGCAATCTAAAATTGTGTCAAAACCCAATTACCTCAGAATATTAACGTCAAATTAAAAGAAGAAGTTGTGGGCTCTAGGTGATGTTCCTGGGTTATTTGGATAGCTATGGTTTTCCCCGTTCTTCCCGAGATGTTCCCTCCTTCGCTCCACTGTTGAGAGTGGTAGAGCACCTGCTGTTACTCAGTACTGTGGCCCTGGGCACACAAGAGTGACTAAGGGAGGGTCCGCTCTGTGGTGAATCCAGATGTCCTTTTCTCTTTATTTGAGGTTTTTGCCTTAGGGCGTGTGCGCTCACCAGAGAGAGAGAGACAGAGACAATGAGAGGGAAACTGAGAAGTCATCCCCCAGAGAGATGACCACACCACAATCCCTTCTCCTCTATGGATCTTGGGCATGCATGCACGCACGCCCGGCATGAGTTTGATCCAGGATTCAAACTACAGTTGGCCACGTGAGAGTCCAGCAACATTACTGCTATGCCATCTGCTGACCACAAATCCAGATTTCTAAATGGAAAGAAGAGGCCACACCTGGCTTCTGCCTCACCTTGCAAATGTAATTTGCACATTTTCAATCAACAAAAATGTTTACTCTTTGATTTGCCAGTAGTATTTCAAGAGACTTTCAATTAATGAAGAAATATTAGTGGAATGAAGTGTAAATCACTCAAAATTACATAATTCATAGCATCCTGCTTCGCTGATGGTGCCTAGAGAGGCTAAGCTTCCCGGTGGCCGACGGTGGAGGTCAGCCTCACAAGGAGAGCGTGTGGCAGGATCGTTCCATAAATCTATCCACGTGAAATGGCATGTAGCTATAGAAGAAATAGAATTAATGTGCATAAATGAATATGTTTCCATCAACAATTTTATAATTATATCTAATGGCTATGAATGACAAATATGCATTTGCATGAAAACAATTTATGTACATAATTTCATAAGATACCTTCTTGAAAGCCAGCTTTCACAAAGATGGCAAATACTGAGCCATAAGCCACAAGGAGAAAATAAGTGAGGATACTCAGTTTCACTTAAGTGTTAAAAATATGAATTAGGCAAACTGTAGAGAAAAACCCCACTTAAAGTTGTGTAAAAGAAAAGATACGGTGACCCTAGAGCGACGTGAGCATGCTCACAGTGAACATGACGTTAGGTCGTGGGAAAGCCACGAGAGGCTTTCCTATGCAGAAATGCGTCATGACTTTCCGGACAACCCAGTACATTTGAGATAGCAATACCCTTTCCAACGCTGGCTTTCGGTGGCCGTGGCGGGCATCTCATCACAGTCCCCTTGTGGCACCCCGTGTCTCCCCTCAGGACCCAGATAGTCATCTCAGGGGAGTTCTTCCTTAGGACTAGCCAGGGCCGCTTCAAAGAGGCTGAATCTGGGTGAGCGTGAGCACATCAGAGTGGCCTAAAACCTCTTGCTCTGGTCAGCGCACTTGGGAAATGCAGGGCTTCTGTTTAAAGGACGGAGGAGCCAGCTGAAAGGACAGGACCCCTCTGGCCAGCTTAGGCCAGTTTGCGTATCACCAAGAATCACCATAGGTCTATGTGGTCAATCTGTAAGTGAACTCTATGAAAATCCCTTAGTCTCGAAAGATAGAAAAAAAAAAATGCAAGTGTAATTGTAACTACAAAGCTAGTTGTAATTCAAAGAAAAGGTAAACTAGGGCAGTTTAGTAAGAAGGCAAGTTCAGTGTGCATGCGATGTGTTTCTTCCTGGAAGCTCCGTGTGGCGTTTATGAAATGGCCTATCTGTGTAGCCGGAGACCAGCAAGAAATATACCATGGGTAAGCCAAAGTTTTCCAGAACAGAAGGAACTGTGCCAAACCCAGGAGGGCAGGTCAGGACCAGCAATCTCCTAAATAACTATGTAGAAAGAAGGGTCAATAGTAAGTGCTACAGGTTGATGGAATAGCGGGAGGTTGGAGAAGAGCTGCTGGAGGAAGCCACGGCATGGCCCTGCTAACTACAAAGGCAGGCCGACAGGCACTGAAGTTCGCCATACCGGCGCGTACCTGAGACAGAACAGAACGTCCCAGGTGGGAAGGCTCCGTTGACATGGCAGCTGGCCCCGGTCTGAGACAGCCCCAGCCCCCGTTCACTGCCCCCCCGGG